AAACCATCCCTCCCAAAATATTGGAGATTTCTCTGCATCACAGAGGAAATACGGAGACGTAAACCGATGCTTAACTAAGGAACATTTTTTTAGAAAAAAGCTAAATGGAGAAACGCTGTCTAGAGAATGGTTAGTGTACTCACCGTCTACTGGAACTGTATTCTGTTTCTGCTGCAAGTTGTTTAGCGTAAGAGACAATCCATTTGTCACTGGATATAATGACTGGAAAAACTGTGCTAATCGCTTGCATGAACATGAGAATAGTATGGATCATCGTACTGCTGTGCTGACTCTATCATCACTTGGAAATAAAAATGCACGCATAGATTCAACCATAGTACAGCAACAGGAGTCTGAGAGAGTACACTGGCTCAACATTTTGAAACATATAGTGGCAACTATTCAGTTTCTTTCTTCAAGAGGACTGCCATTCCGTGGAGATGATGAGTTAATAGGATCGCCCCACAATGGGAACTTTTTGGGCTGCTTGGAGTTAATTAGTCGCTTTGATCCACTTCTGTCAGAGCATCTAGCCAGATATGGAAACAAGGGCACGGGACATACCAGTTACCTGTCCTCTACAGTTTGGGATGAGTTTATTCAGCTGATGGCTGAGAAAGTTCTGCGTGCCACTGTAAAAGAAGTAAAAGATGGCAAGTATTTCTCCATCATTGTGGACTCAACACCTGACGTCACACATGTTGATCAGCTTACTCTGATAATTCGATATGTCCTGAAGAAAAGTGGTGAGCCTGTTGAGAGATTTTTGGAGTTCATACCTCTACATGGTCACACTGCAGAACACATGGAGGAAACACTCAAATTTGAATTAAATGAACTGGACATTGATTTGATGGACTGTCGTGGGCAGAGCTACGACAATGCGAGTAACATGGCAGGGAAATATTCTGGTCTCCAAGCAAGAATACAAAATAAAAATCCTAATGCTGACTTCATCCCATGTTCTGCACATTCTCTTAATTTAGTTGGTGCATGTGCAGCAGAATGTTGCATTGAAGCGGTTTCAATTTTTGGCTTCATTGAAAATCTCTACAACTTCTTCTCAGCTTCAAGTCGGCGGTGGGAGATTTTAACAGCCCATCTGACAAAATGTGAGCAAGGTCTGACACTGACGAGCCTTTCCAGCACAAGATGGTCTGCAAGAGCCGATGCAACAAAAGCTCTGAGATTTGGCTACAAAGCTATACAGGATGCTTTGAATGAAATCAACGTTGACCATGGAACCCCCAGAGCTGCGCAATATGAGGCAAGTCAATAACAGTGATGGAAACCCTTGAAACTGCAGTTATGACAGTGCTGTGGGACGAACTGCTGACAAGAATCAATGTAACCAGCAAAGCATTGCAACAGGTATACACTGATGTATGTACTGTTCCTATTCTGTACAGTTCACTCATAGAATACATAGGACAGGCCAGAAATGATTTCGATGTCTATGAAGCAGAGGCCAAGACTCTCACAGCGACAGAGGGATACAAAGCAGATAGCCAAAGGAGACGAGTAAAGAAAGTTATGTTTGATGAGTCTGCAGGTCCAGAGGTGCGGCGCTCAGGCCGTGAAGCATTTTTGATTGACACCCATTATGTCCTCTGTGACTGCTTGTCACAAGAGTTGAAAATTCGCAAAGATGCATACAAAAACGTGGAGGAGAAATTTGGTTTCCTTACTAAAAGGAAATCAATGAACATTGAACAAATCCGTGCAGCCACAGACAAGTTGAAGAAAACATACCCCCAGGATCTCGAGGAGGACATTACAGCAGAGTTTTGTCAGTTCATGTCAATGGTAAAAGATGAAGAATCAGTCACGGCCATGTACAAGAAATTTCTAGAGCTAGGCTTGAGGGATGCTTTTCCTAATGTGGACATTTGCCTTCGCATGAATCTGACATTAGCGATTGCAAACTGTTCAGGAGAAAGATCATTTTCTGTGTTGAAACGAGTAAAAACACATCGGAGAGCAACACAGGAAAAAAACTGAATGCCTTTGCTCTGTTAGCAATTGAAAATGGATTCACAACTGCACTGGACTTTCAAGACATCATCGAGGACTTCACCACATCAAAACTCAGGAGAAAGCATCTGTAAATGTAAGTTTTTTTTTGAATAAGTAAAGTGAATATGAAAATCAAATGTAAGATGCATACAGTATAAATTAAATGTAAAATATTGGGCTATACGTTCTACTATAATTAAATGAAATATGAGAAACAAACCAAGTTTATTCATATCTGAGAAGAAGACAGGAGGAGACTGGAGAAAAGAGCGGTCAGTAATGTGAGAAAAGTGAATCTCTTTCTATTGTGTTGCTGTTGTTAGCATAAATATTAACCTATTCTTGTGTACAATAAACTCATATGTTACAGTAAATCACAGCTGTGGAGAATGGAGACTTAAGAGGAGCAGAGAAGAAGACAGGAGGGGGAAACTGGACAGAAGTGGTGAGAGTATGAGAACATATACTATTTTGTAAATATGTGTTCTGTCATGGGTGTGGCTATGGCAATTAAAGGATATTATTTGCACACTGCAATTGACTAATTGATTAAAAACAAAGTAGTTGTAGTATTTTGTTGTTTAGTAGCAGTAATATGCAGTTACTAGCTGTCCACTGCATTTTTTTGTTTTCTTGAGAACCTCCTAGAAATGACCAGGACCCCCATTGACCCCCAATAAAAATTGTCTGGAGCCGCCACTGGTTAAATGTAAACAGAGCAAATAAGATATATATATTTGCTCTGTTTACATAGTTTAATGACACCTAGTGGTTATTTACTGGTACTACTGCCTTAACATTGACACTCCCAATAGATAAGATGAGGATAATTTATTATCATTTAATACAGCTGTGTAATGACGTTCAATTTATTAATATCAAAAAATAGTCTGATAGAATATTTAACATACAACACATGACTTATTCTGGCATACAAACAACCAATTTGTAACCAAAAACTAGGCTATGTAAAATGTGAATGAACTTTTATTAGTAACTTTGGTAAGTTTCACATTTCAGTTCATTAAATAACATCGATGGGGGGGGGGGGCAAAAATGCAGCCTGCCTAGTGTAGTTCATTTATTTAATCCGGCTCTGAGCTTATCCCAACGCAAGAAGCTGTTAGCGAAAATGCTAACAGTAGCTTTACCAACATTAAGTTCAAGGTACCAAGTTTAAATAAACCAAAAACACCCAGCAGCAAACAGACCAGCACGGAGGAGAGACTGCTACCACCAAAACAGCTCTCCTAATGTCTGAAAGAAGCTCCTTTAAGAAGGGAGAAATGCTCCCGGTGATTTTCTACATCTGCAATAGAGACGAAGCAGCGCATCCGACCCTGGAAGTTGTTGTCCGTTGCCGGGAGACGAAGGTGGGCAAAACAGGAAAGGAATCTAGCGGACGGATGTTTTTCCGGGTTTTCGGTATTTGGCGGAGATGTTAGTGAAGGCGGAGAAGAGGGCGAACTAGAGGAAAAACAGGCAGATTCCTCCTCTATTTACAAACTGCTGGGGATGCAACAAGTGGGCGCGGTGCGTCGACTACCGGATCTGACATCGACGAATTTTTAGAATCGAGTCGTCGACGTCATCGACGCTTCGCTACAGCCCTACTAACGAACATTTGCATGCATGCTTAAGAATGGCCGTAACCCCGTTCCACCCAAAGTTTCAAACTTTAGCTGCAAATGCAAACTTCTCCCACTGAAGTAAGAGCCAGTGATGTTTTGCAATAAGGTGCGAGTTACTTTGTGTTGTGGGTCAAAAATATTTTCTGCACAGTTTAAAGCAGTTGCTGTTTTTTCTGAATAGTGTTTTCATTTTTAGGTGAATTGTTCGCACCTGAAAATTGATTTATCTGTAAAGAAATGTCATCATTTCAATGTCAAATAGTTTTTTTCCTTTAATGTTAATACCTCAACTGAATTGCACTTTTCTACTCGGCAGATAATTAATTGGGCACCAATAATTATTTACACTGTGACTGTCAAGAATATTTTCTGCACAATTTAAAACACTATTGATTTTTTCAGGAAATACTTTGAATTTTAGGTGACTTGGTTGCATCTTTAATGCTGGTTAAGGTACGGTGGATATCGTTATTTCATTTTCTAATAGTTTTTCTCTTTATTATTAGAACTTCAACTAGATTGCACTTTTCTGCTCTGCAGATGATTAAGTGAGCATATGGAAAATTGATGATACATTGTGGTGTTTTTCAATTTTTTTCTGTGCAACTTAAAGGACTTAGTTTTCCAGACTGTACTTTAGGTTTTAGGTGAATTGTTTCACCTTAATGTTGATTTGTGTGCAATATAATTTCAATGTCACCTGTTTTTTTCCTTATCAGTACTTCCAGTAGATGGTATTTTCAGCTAGCCAGATGATTTAATGAGCGTATGAATAATTGTTCTAAGTTGAGACAAAAATCTATATTGTTAATCACATGTTGAATAAAACTGAAAGAAAAAAATTGTCGATTGATTTTAAATCTTCGGATCCAGGATAAATTTGGTGATGTAGGTAGTGGACCTCTTGCTGTTGGGTTGGGGACCCCTACGCTAGATCAAACACTAACAACTGTTGAGTTTCTGTCTGATGGCTCAACTAAAGTCACGTCCAGCATGGCAGCAAGTCGTGGAGCCAAACCAAGGAAAGGAGGTGTGATATCAGCAGGAGGCTGGTGAGCTGGGAGCTGAAAAGGCCCTAAAGGGTTTTGTTTATGGTAAATATGAAGATGTTGACATTTAATAGTTAGAAGCCAAGAGACTGAATGCATTTTAGATGATGTCAGATGTGAAAATCAACAAAAAAATAATTAAACTCACATCTAGAACCACATGTCAGTATCGGCAATAAAAAAAAACATCATTCGACCTCCTTTTTTGACTAATGTACAGACACACACACACACACACACACACACACACACACACACACACACACACACACACACACACACACACACACACACACACCAGTACCTGTGTCCATGCTGATGGATGATGCTGAAGTGGTAGCAGGTTTTCTTTAGCCGTGTTTAGCTAACAGCTGCAATAGAAACAAAGCAGGAGAGCTGATTAAGATGCTGCTTCAGAACAACGCAGGAGATTAAAGATCCAACGCTTTGGTTCTGGCCAAAGGAACAGCAGCAGATCCAGAGGGCAGGAAGTCTAGAGAAAAGCTTTTCTGACCCATCACCTGATTCTGGAGCTCCGATTGTCACGAAGACCGCAGAATATCTTCTCTGGTTCTGGAAAGAACTCCACCAAGTTGTTGAGGAGGAGAAGAAAGTTTCCACAGCCTGGTGAGAAGATTTCTGCAGCAGCAGCAGCACCAGTTAGTCGCTTTAGCTGATCAACTCTCCCAGAGACTGAAGTGAAGACGTTTTTACTGCAGAGCCTCAAATGTTCTCCTCACACACCACAACAACAAGCTAGCTCTGCTAGCAGCTTTCGGTTTCTGCTTCTTCCGGTGGTCGGTGACCAGCGTAAAGGTGCACTACGCCACCTGCTGGACTGGAGGCGCACTTAGCAATGACGATACCACCGATGACATTAACTCTTCCTGGCCAAGGCTACACTCCCTAAAAGTGAGTGAAGTAAAATCATCTTTGGGTGTGAATGTAATCAAGGCTAAAGAGACATTCAGGGGCGGATTTAGCAATTTGGGGGCCCAAGGCGAACACAGACATGGGGCCCCTTACACTAAATTTTCGACAATCTTATCTTTAACTGGATTTGCGAAACTCTCCCCTCTTCTGACATGAGTTATTTTCCCTTTTTATTAGTCCTCCTCTTTTTTTCCTGTATTTCCCTCCCTTTGAGTGCTTTCAATATTTGCTCTGCTTTCTTTTTTCTGTCAGCGCTCCTGTGCTTTAGCCTTAGTTATTTTTTTTTCTATTTTCCATTTTGGTCTGTTTTCCTCCCTTTAAACATTTTCCATTGTCTTTCCTTTCTGCTTCCTTTTGATGTTTACATCGAAAAACGACGTCACTTTCAGAAGTGAAGATACAAGCTTTTATGAAGCATGCTGCTTCTTTCTCTTATTGGAGCCACTAGGATAACTCCATTTCATGCTTAATGTTTTGACTATCTCTTTGCGTTTGTTACGAATGCTCCCGCCTCTCTTCTCATTCTTATTTGTGGTCTTATGGCACTTGGCAAACAACAATTTGGTGCATTACTGCCACCAACTGGATTGGAGTGGAATGACTACCAATCACTTCCTGTTTGTGCATCGCAGTCTTATTAACCCTCATATGACCATAATTATAACAGGGCCGCCTGGTATTTTTTTTATCTTATGGCTGTAAAATTGTAATAAAAAGTGCAAAGTGTGTGTAACTCTTCTCCTTTTTTCAGAACAACCTCAGCTTTCAGTGTATGGCTTGTATTTCCAAACCACTATAACATTTCACGAAAAGAAACGTGAAGCCACTTCTCCTCCAGCTTCACTGGCTGCCAGTCAACTTCAGGGTTCATTTCAAGATCCTGGTTCTGGTCTATAGGGCCTTACATGGACAAGCGCCATCTTACATTGGTGATCTTCTTAAGCCGGGCGTACACTGTGCGACTTTTTCACTTTTTTGAGCCGATTTTCCAGTCGTGCGAGAAGCCACGACATCGGGGCGAGTTTTGCGCCGAGCGGTCGTGTAGTGTACAGGGGGTTACGAGAGGCGATTAACACCACGTGACCAGCCGCCGATCAGCAGTCGTGAGGTCGCAGGGACTTCTGGTGTGTTTAATATTTCGCTCGTCCCTCGTGAGGGTATTGCACTGTTGAAGCAGCGCTGCGAGCAGCTGCGAGCAGCTACGATCCAAAAAGTATCAGAACCGCTCACGGCGCATGCGCGCGCAATCCTGCATCAACGCCGGCCGGTCGCTCGCTATTTCCCTAATAACACACGCTGTTAGTTTTTGTTTCTACACGTTTTTTTTACTCACAAAGATTGTCAAGAAAGCGTGTTTGTCGTGTTCATGTCAAATTAAACTGATCACAAAACACAGATTCACTTTCTTTATTTCGTTTTCCTCATCCAACCCCCATAAATCCCTGTGTGTCCTCCTACAGCACTCCCGAAGGACAACAGGCAAGACAAAAAAGTCTGACATGTTGAGTAAAAACTGCTATTTTTAGCACATTTTTAGGGCCGACGTGTTGCTACCAGACAGTGTGAGCAGTCAGGTCGCATGCGAGAACTGGGTCGTACAGTGTGAGCACACGACTCGTGAGATCTGCTCTGCGAGGAAGTCATACAGTTTGAGCTGAAGCTGAACGCTGCGAGTGAAAAAGTCGCACAGTGTACGCCCGGCTTTAGTCCCTACACCCCCAGTAGGTCCCTGAGGTCCAGTGATCAAAGCCTACTGGTTGTGCAGCACCAGGCTAAAGGTCAAAGGTGACAGATCATTTGCTGCTGTGGCCCCCAGACTCTGGAACTCTCTTCCCCTGAGCCTGAGATCAGTGGACTCAGTGGACTCCTTTTAAAAGCAGCTGAAGACTCACTTGTTCAAGCTGGCTTTTGTATGACCTTCTTCATCACCCTCTCTTTAATCTGCTCTCCCCACCTATTCCACCTTCCTCACTGATTTCCCTCTTTCCTATTCACTCTCTCTCTTTCTTAACATTTTTTCTTTTAAATCCCAATTGCCTATTTTTGCTCATTTTAAATATATTTTTAAACATTTTCTAAATGCTTTTTTATATTTATATTTTTGTTTTTGTGAAGCGCCTCGTGATTTTTATCTTGACAGGCGCTATAGAAATGATATTTTCTTCTTCTTCTATTTAGAATGTATTTCTATTACAGCCTTTAAAAATCAGCTTAAAAGTGAAAAAAGCAAACAACGGATTTGAATTTTTTACATTTATTACTGAACAGGAACTTCAAAATTACTGGGCAAACAATTTAAACTTTGAACTGAAATGCATCTATTCTTAAAAAAGTTTGAACCTTGGTGTCTTGTAGCAGTTTTTAAGACTTTATTTTTGTAAACTTTCAGACGTTTTTATTTGATGTGGTAGACCTTGAAGCAGCTTCTCTCCAGCTGCAGGCAGAGTCCTGCACACCTCACACGGCCACGGGGTTCTTCTCTGGCACACCGTGCACTGCTATACCAAAAACATTTGTTTTAGCAAAAATAATTATTTATTGTAAAAAGATAAATAATGCTGGAATGAAGCTGAATCTTACAATTAGCAAATAGTTGAGGGTTGTTCAAATAAAAAAATAAAAAATAAAGACGGAACAAACATTCATACCCTGGTTCACTGGAGATCTGTCCTTCTTCGTGGTCACTGTCTTCAGATATAAGACTTCTGGGACACCTAATAGATCGTGTTGATTTTCTTTGAGGCATTTCCATAATTTCATACTGGTTTTTATGCTAATTAGCTTCCCCGTTCCGTTATCCGCTTTCACCGCGGCGCTGCGCTCCGTTTCAATCAGGCTGTACAGCAGGATTTCCCCTCGTAGCGATATTTTGCCTAACTCTGATTGCTTCATGCTATAGATCGTTGGAAAACTGCTTTTATGTACTTTTAGGAACCGTTGGAATTTCCTGGATCTAATCAGCCATTCAAAAGTTATAAAGCGGAGCATTTTGGATGACAAACTCAGCACGTCTCTGAATCTTTGTTGTGATTCGGTGCGCTCAAGACAGGGAATCCCGGTGGCTACCGTAATGTATTGTATATGCACGGAAAGCCTCATTTTTAATCTTTTCAGCACTTTTGGAATTTTAAAGATATCTTGAACGGTTCAGGAATTATGGTAATGAGAAGTGCGCATGTCCAATCCCGTCTGCGGCAGGTTGGTAATAGGAATATTGTGGCATTAACAGAGGGGTGCTGGCGGTCAGGGCTAGGAGGCCCCCCAACACAAGGGGGCCCCAGGCGGCCGCCTACCTATGCCTAATGGTAAAACCGTCTCTGGAGACATTTCAGCTGTTAGATTAAGGTGATAAAAAATGAACACACATCGAGTAAAGAATATCTTCTCCAGGTCAGAGATGATGTCCTGCTCCAATTGGAGGAGTTTAAGTATCTCGGGGTCTTGTTCACGAGTGAGGGAAAGATGGAGCACGAGATCGATAGGCAGATTGGTGCATCTGCAGTGCTGCGGGTGTTGTACTGGTCTATCGTGGTGCAGAGAGAGCTTCGCCTTCTTGCTCAGCTCTCGATTAACTGTTCGATCTACGTTACCCTCACTTATGGTCACGAGCTTTGGGTAGTGACCAAAAGAACAAGATCGTGGATACAAGTGGCTGGAATGGGGAGAAGATGTGTAGCAGCACAAGAGGTCCCAGAACAGGGGAGGAGTCCAAGGCCCCACCTTACATATACGGTCATATACACTCCCTCCCCCATGCCTAAGACTTAAATGATAAATGACTCGCACTTGTATAGCGCGTCTCAGAGTAAGGACTCCAAAGCACTTTACACTACAGTGTATCATTCATCCATTCACACACACATTCACACACTGATGGTGATGAGCTACAGGGTAGCCACAGCTGCCCTGGGGCGCACTGACAGAGGCGAGGCTGAAGAGACATTCCAGCTGTTAGATTAAGGTGTCAAAAATGAATGCTAGTCACCCACTCACAGTCCCCATACACACCCTATTCACTTTGGTCCCTGTACCGCTGCACAGAGGGTACAACCATCACCGATCACCAGAGTTCGCCCCTTTCTGCTGGGGTGATGATGAGCAGGCACCCCCCGCCCCACTCTGAGCAAAGCAACCCACCACCCCAGACCCCAACCAGACGGCCAGCTCCCCCCTCCTAGCCTCCAGCCCCGGGAAGCCAAGTGACAACAGAGGTGTGCTAAGACCCCTAGTCTTTGTCCGCCTGCTCCAATACAGTGTTGACACTCAGGTTCTTCACCTGTGAAGATGGATTAAGAGACAGTGATTGTAATTTTGGTAAAAGTTTCTCTCTGGGCCTCAGGACCGATAATTAAAACTTCAGTTTTGTCCTGGTTGAGCTGGAGAAAATTGTCTGCCATCCAGGATTTGATGTCTAAAATGCAATTAAAAAGTGTGTCCATTGTCCATGTGTCATCAGGAGACAGAGATGTACAACTGTGTATCATCAGCATAACTGGAAATTTACCCCATGTCTCCTGATGACACTGCCAAGAGGGAGCATATACAGGTTAAAAAGCACTGGGCCTAAAATTGAACCCTGGGGCACACCACATGTAATCCCATGGACCGTAGAGGAACAGGTATCCAAACCCACCATAAAAGTCCTGCCTGTGAGGTAGGAAGTGAACCATCGGTGAACAGCACCAGAGAGGCCGATCCGTTTCAAACCAGTTAAAAAATAGTGTGGTCTACTGTATCAAAGGCAGCACTTAGATCCAGCATAACCAACACAGTCACCTTCTGTTTATCATAATTTACTCTAAAACCATTTAAAATCCTCAGAAGGGCCGTCTTGGTGCTGTGGTTCACCCTAAAACCAGACTGAAATTTTTCAAAGACATTATGGGTGTCG